AAAAACAGAGTACCAGCATTCACTAGCACGCCGGCCGTGATGCCCACCTTCTCCACAATGCTGACTACCGCTGATGCAACATACGGTTCTGCTCACCTCTTCCTCTCCGAATCCAAGCTCCAACAGTGCAGCCAGTATCATCCACTCCGCCTGGGAAAACAAAGAGATTAAATGATCGTTGTGTTCACAACACATCACCCATTGGTAGAATTTTATTGTTGTTTGTGTGTGTGTTTATTGTTTCTTTTTCTTTTTTTTTTTGAAATCTGCTTTAGCTCAACAGCATGCAGACTGCAGACAAGAGAACTGGGGTGTTTCTAGAAGGAACAATCCCCATGCTTTTCCTGCAGCTTTTAATATTAAATGGACAATACGACCCAGAAATTAACTGGAACTTTCTTAACTGCAAATAGCTCAAACGTTTATTTTATTTTTTTTTTTTTACGTAGAAAGAAAGATCTAGGAGCAGAAGAGATCATACGCCAAAACAACCAAACACCAAACAACCTTCCCTTCGCTTCGGATAAGGGATGACCAGGCTGACAACACTCACCTTCCCTCGGTGCTTCATGACATGAGGATTTCCCTTCCCTCTCCACAACTGCACAAAGTAACTGCAAAGACAGGAGAAAAGCACACTCTGAGGCACCTCACTGCTACAGTGTACCTCCTGCAAGACCTCTCTCTTCCCTGCTCTGGTACTTCAGCTGCTCACCAGCTCTAACTGAGATTGTTCGCTCACAGCACCACAGCAAGCTCCACCCGGGCCACACAACACACACTACACAAGCTACATTGCCCAACACACACACAAAAGCTGGAACATTCCCGCCCAACAATCAGTCGCATCACACAGGAAGGATGCCGCACACTCGAGAAACCAAACCTACCAGTCCTGAGCAGCTCCCCACATCCACCTGCCAACCACGCTCAGCACACACACTATTCACCCTCTCAAAAAAAAAAACAAAAAGTTAGAACATACACACACGCCAAAAAAAAAAAAAAAAAAAAAAAAACCAAGCTCCACAAATGCCAAAAAGACATGCGCACACAGCAGCCCCGGCAGGGGTAATCACAGACTTACCCTTTGCAGATAAAAAAGGTGACTCTGATACAACCCTGCTCAGTCTCTTGGTAATGCTGCATCTACGCTGTCAAGCCACAGGTACCATGCAATCAAGCTGATTTTAGTCCTCTGGAAAATTACACAAGTGGGTTTACGCATCTAGAGATTAAAATATAGCTCAAAAACAGAAGAGTATCCCACCATCCCAAAAAACAGTGAGCCAGAAACCTCTATTAAACATCCCTCTCCTAAGTGAATTCCAAGCACTTAAAAATTCTAGAAATCTATAAACTCCAGCCTGCCTAGAGAACCCTGCAACTGACTAAAGGAAAAACAAAGCACTTACCCCAAGGAGCAGCCCAGGCAGAAGGAGCTCTCTGATAGCATGCCTGGGGCTCACATAGCATTCAGCCCTGCCCAGCACCCAAACCCAATCACCTGGGAAAAGGGAGGGGCAAAGCACAAGAAAGTAGGAAGAGAGCAAAAGAAGCAGCTGTGGTTTTTTTTTTTTTCCTTTGTTTTTTAAATATCTGTTTTATCTCAAAAACATTCCGAGAGCAGACAAGAGACCTGTGGTGTTTCTAGAAGCAACAATCCCCTTTTGCTTTGGCTGCAGCTTTTAATGTTGAACCGATACTGTCACCAAGCAAGTAACTGAAACTTCTTCAACTGGAATTAGTTTACACACGCTCACCGTCATCTGCAAACACAGAGAACCAGCATTCACTACCCGTAACCCTAACCCTAACCCCAACCCTCACCCTAAACTCTAACCCTAGCCCCAGCCCTAGTCCCTAACCCCAACCCTACTTCCCGAGAACTGCATTTCCCGGCATGCTATGGGCACCCAACATGGCCTCCCGGAAGTCCGGAGGCCCAGAACTACATTTCCCAGTATGCTCTGGGCACCCAACATGGCCTACCGGAAGTTCGGAGTCCCAGAACTACATTTCCCGGCATGCTCTGTGCACCCAATATGGCCTCCCGGAAGTAAGGAGTCCCAGAACTACATTTCCCGGCATGCTCTGGGCACCCAACATGGCCTCCCGGAAGTTCGGAGTCTCAGGACTACATTTCCCGGTATGCTCTGGGCACTCAAGATGGCCTACCGGAAGTTCAGAGTCCCAGAACTTCATTTCCCGGCATGCTCTGGGCACTCAACGCAGCCTACTGGAAGCCTTGTGCCGGAAAACTACACCTACCAGCATTCCCTGGGCAGCCGGCACGGCCAATCAGAGGCCGAGTTTTCGAGAACTCCATTTAACAGCACTCCCTGGAACCCTAGCCCTTACCGCCCTTACACAAAAAAGCCGCAAGCCCTAACCCTAAAAGTCCTCGAAACCCCTACAGACCTAAGCCAAACTATCCACCACACTAAACCCCTGAAGTCCTATGCCTAAAAGCCCTAACCCAAACACTTAAGACGCTCAAATCTCACACCCACAAAATTAAGATGCTCAAATCCCAAACCCCAAAAAATAGGACGCTCACATCCCAAATCCCCTTCCAAAAAAGAAAATAAGAAAAAAAAATCAAACAAAACAAAAACAACAAAAGGGGTAGACCTGGTGGCATCTGCCCTATAACCCTGCAAAAATCATGAGGGACATAGAACAACAAAGCAAACACACAAAATAACATTGACATCCTATCCATAAAAGTGCTATAACAATTCATCACCTCCAAAGAGCTTCATGCAATAAATGCACGTACTACTAGATTGGTTTCCTCTAAAATATCGTACAAGACTCTGACCCACGAAAAGAACCCTGCATGTAGCTAACAGAAGAATAAACAAAGCACCGACCCCAAAGAGCAGCCCACGCAGAAGGAGCTCTCTGATAGAACGCCTAGGGCTCATATAACATTTGGCCCCGCCCAGCACCCAAACCCAATCACCTGGGAAAGAGGAGGGGGCAAAGCACAAGAAAGAGAGCAGGAGCAGCAGCTGTGTTCTTTTATTTATTTATTTATTTTCCCCTATCCCTAGTTTACAGCATGAGGAGTGCAGGCAAAAGAACCCCTTTCCCACCAACAGGTAGCGGCAGAGGGCGCTCGCGGGCTCCACCGCGCATGCGCGCCCCCCGGCCGCCTGCAGTACCCCTTTTCCACCAGCAGGTGGCGGCAGAGGCCGCCCTCCGGTGCCACCGCGCATGGGTGGCGTTCGGCCGCCTGCAGTAGTTACTTCCGACCAGCAGGTGGCGTTCCACCCTGACGTTAAATACCTGCAGTATCGGATGAGAACAAAAGAAACCCCTACTGTGGCTTATTTCAGTGGATGCAGCATTCCATGTTTATGTATGGTACGAAGAACTGGTCTTGAATCAGGTCCTCCGTAGATGGGACTCCTTGAGTTCTTTATTTGCCTGGATTTTCCAAATTGAGTGTGGACCAAATTGAGTTCAGCCCTTCCTTGTGCCACAGAACTCGAACAAAATATCCAAATTGTCCGTAACAGGTGTAGTTTCTACAAAAGTATTAATACACTACCTCCCCTTGTCCCTCTTCCTGGGTATTGTACAATAATGTTTTCACTGGTCATGAATAATGGCATTTTTAGGAGTTTTACTATTACTGGCCAATAATTTTTGATTTGAGAAAAGTAAAAAACACACACCGTGCACCATGTCACCAGGTGATTCCATTTAATAGTCTCTGCATTACCAATATTTGAAAAGAAAATTCACTAGGGGAAATTCAGAAGTCTGCAGCTATTACCAATAAAGACTGTGTAAGTAAACTTCTCAATATTGCTTTTGGTATTTCACGAGAAAAAAAACATTGCGGCTATGTTTTCTCATCTGTAAGGTTTTGGGGGGTAGACAGAAAAGCAATCCAAAATTCTTAGCATGTTGCCTTAGAATCATGGTTTACAGTTACTCGATGTCTTCCGGTCTCACAGGATGAGGAAGAGGTATAATAGATTTCTTCTCCGTATCTCTGGAAAGAGCTTTTCTCATATCTGTAGCAAGAGGAAAAAGATGTTGTTGTAACAAGAGTTGTTGCACAAAGCCATACTAAGCGAATTCCCTATTACAGTTAGATTGAAAGTTATCACTTTCAATCAAGCTGATTTTGGCAGCAATGTTAACAATTCAAATCATTAGTGCGGCACAAAATTCAGCTGAATGTCAAGAAAATGGCAGGCTAAAAGGGCAAACATGACTTAAGTCATCTGTAACAACTGTAGTTGTCTGTCCACAGCCTTTGTATTTTGTATGTTACTTTAATCTGAAACGATGAATGGATGAACAGAAAAGATACGCAGCAAGCCCAAAGAAGCTTTCGTGGAGGACACTTACAGGAAAAAATACCTTGCAATAACAAGCACCTAGTACTCCTGTTTTGTTAACACAGTACTTGAAATTTCCACGTCCTTTATCCTTTAAATTGAAAAGGCCACCCAATTCTCTGTCACTGTGGACCATTAGCCTCTGTAAGATTTTAATTGGCTGAGAAAAACAATTCCTCAAGTCTGTATAATCAAGGGACAACAAAACAAAAGCGGGGGGGGGAGGGGGGGGACGGACTGTCACAGAAAAGGAGGGAAGAGAAAGGAAGAAGGAAAGCACAGCCATTCCTCTTCCCAGTGGCATCAGGAAGAAGTCCAGGCACCTGCCAGGAGCATTCTTTCCATTAGATAAGTAACCGAATGTTATTTATCCTTACTCACAGAATAACATGTCTTTGTACTTGATAGCTTACTCATCTGGTATTTTATTTTACCGTGGATACAATGAAACGTGCAAACCACAAGGCTGAGTTTTTTAACAGATATTAATCCTCAGCAGGAAAAGCTATCTAAAGGAAGAAGTAAAATCCCATTAAACAACAACCACCTTAACTTTTTCCCTATAAACAAAACACAGGGACAACCCTGGGACACACAAGAGGATCTTTCCATTCAACGTGGGGTAGAACAAGTACTTACCATAAGCATCCTCGTCAGGCTCTCCATTGCTAGCAGAATAGTACTCTAACACTGTCCGGTACACACTGTAGCCCAGTTGCTTATACATGTTTACTGCAACCTGATTTGATACTCTCACAAAGAGATCAACGAAAAATCCGCCCTTTCTTTTAAAAAATAAACAAAACACAGTAAGAACGAGCAGGTGAATATATTTCCAATTAAAAACCCACAACATGTAACCAAGAACAGGTCTGATGAGGCAATACACTAATCAGGTATGCTTCACGCTGTAATAACTGATGCACTCCTTTTAGCACGGGACAAGCCCAGTATTGGCAGAAGTTATTTTTTTTTTTTTGGTCACATGAACAATCTTCTACACCATCTCAGAATTATTAACAAAAAGAACAGGGCCAGCCAAATACCCACAGAAGCCTCATTTTCATATATATATATATATATATGAATAATTATATATATAATATTATATGAATATAAATATATATATGTATGTGTGTGTGTATATATATATATAATTATTTTAATTATAATCCGTATTTTAGATGCATTTACATTGCACTAGCTTAGGGACTGCCCCCTTCAAAATGAACAGGGGAAGAAAAATCAGTCTCACAATTCAGTTGCCTAATAGGAGACAGCCCTCAGTATGCAAGTTCTTCAAAGAATCAAGCAATTTGGGGATTCAACCAACCACAACAGGGTTGCTCTACTGGCACGAGCTAGGGACATTTCCCTAATGTGTTTATTTTCTGCAGGTACGAGTAAACCAGCATGAGATGGAAAATAAGCTAAGTTACTGTCTGCAGCACTACATTTGCATAATATTGTGTCCAAGGGAACCCGCACAAAGCCCACAGCCGCTAAACAAATATGTTGGGGGCACTGTGGAAATCACTGTTGGTAGGAAAAGAACTTCACAAAATATCAAGAAAAGGATACTTTATACTGTGTCTTTGCTGAAATTTAGACTACTTCCCATTCATCATGGCAAGTGAGCTTTCATAGAAATCAAGACATTTTAAAATGCCGAGCAAAATTTTTAGTTCTTGTTCTCTAACTACAGGGAATTTCAGTCAGTTGGGGGCGCTATTTAATAGAGAAGTCCGGGAGTCTGGGTATGTTTCATGTAAAACAAATACCTAAACCAGGGACAAAAGTCTACAGAAAGAACACTTTACAAGATCAGCTTAAAGAGAAGGGTAATACTCACTTTTCTGAGATTTCTTCCAATAGTTCCATCAACTTGGCAGCCAAACCCAGCCGTCGAAATTCTGGTGCAACAGAGAGAGCAGTAACATGTCCGTGCCATTCTTCCCTGGCCACAGAGCCTTCTGCTTTACCCATTACTGCGGACAGACAGAGTATCAGCACAGCAGCACCTCTGGGACAACGCACCCCAGGTGTACATCGTTACAGAGGAGTATATGAACACATGCTGCAACAACTGTGGCAAAAAGCTGAACAAGGCATGTCTGTATTATCGCTCTATGACTTAGCAACTCTGTACGGTTACAGGTCAAATATCAGAGCTTCAGAGAGAGGCAGGCAAGGCCCCTGAAGGTCACATTTCCATCTGGATTCCAAGCTCTACTTGAAAGACCGCCAGATGCTAGTTCCTGATTTCACCAACTGCACGCTAACAGAACCTATTCTGACACCCAACTTCACCTACCGCAGACAATGCAGATGGTTCTCATCAGTTCTGCTTCATTGCATCAGACATCATTTTGCTTGTTTTACACTTGTCTCTTGACTAGCATTAAAAAAGTTAAATCATTTTTCAAAACTTGTTTTTTGAGGAGTGCCTTCTAAATAAAAGCCTTAAGCAATTCTCACCAGTCTTTAAACGAGCAGAATTCGGGGTCTGACTGGAATAATGGAAGAACAGAGGGCTACAAGCCAAAAAACTAGTTCATCACCCTAGCAACTAAAGGAAATTTCTGGATGCTTTGAGGGGGTAGAACTTGGGCAGCTTTGCTAATCTGGCAAAAGACAGCTTAGACCCTGAAAACACGTTACATGTAGCCAAAAGAGGTGGGTTTTTCTGTTTGTTTGTTATTTTGGGGGGAGGGGTCGGGTGGGGAGCGGGGGTGTCTTTGGAGCTTGTTTCTACATAGCACCACACAAGCGTTAGATTGCAAACAACCCTCCAAACCTCCTGTCACACGCAGTACTTCAGAAACACCCGTCACACACAGCACCAATGCTTTAGGCTTCAACACATAGAACGGGCCATTTCCCCAGTCTCTGCAAAGGCCTCCCGGGATGCCGGGGCAGCGATAACGAGGAGGGCGAACCGGCAGACAGCCCGAGTAGCGGGTACTGCTGGCGAACGCCACCGCGGCAAGGCAAAGCAAGGCAAGGCAAGGCAAGGCAAGGCTCCCCGGCCCAGGGCTGGCTCTCGGCGGGCGAAGGGAAGCCCGCGCCCGGAGCTCAGCGCCGCTCGCAGCGCGCCCGCCCCGCGGCCCGAGAGCAGCCGGAGCCCCCGCCGAGCGCTGCGGCCCCGGAGCGGCGGGGCCGGGGCCGGGGCCGGGGCACTCACTGTAACCCATCAGCTCCCCGCCGGGCGCCTCCGCCACGATGAAGTACTCGGGCCAGTGCGCCAGGTACTGCAGGTAGAAGGGGATCCCGTACTGCGGCCGCCAGTTAAGGAGCACAGCCACAGCGGCGCGGCGCCCCCCGAGGCCTCCCGCCAGGCGGCCGGCGGCAGCGGAAGGATACGGTCTCCGTCAGCGGGTCCAGGTTGCTGCGGGGAAGGAGAGGGAGAGACGCTCAGCGTGGGCCCGGCCGGGCTGCGGGGCCGGCCCGGGGGGTGGGGGGGTGCCACTCACATGTTGTTGAAGCGGAACAGGTCGTCGCAGGTGAAGGCGCGGAGCGACGTCATGGCACTGCTGGGCCACCGCTACCGGCGCTGCCCCGGCAATGCTCCCGCCGCCCCGGCGCCTCTTCCTTCCGGCGCGGAGGAGGGGCAGCTCCGCCGACCCCGCCCCGCGGCCCGGCCCCGCCCTGCAGCCGCCCGCCCGGGCCGGCGCCGCGCGGCAGGGCCAAGGCTCGCGGGGGGCGCCGCGGCCGCCTCCTCGCCAAGCGACCCGCGCGGGCCCCCTCTGCTTTCCCCCGGCTCCCCCACGGCACCTCCGTGTCCTTCCTCCGGGCGCTCTGGGGCTCTACGGGACATCGGACCCGCACCCTGCCCTCTGAACCACAACAGTGCTTGGAGCTGCGGCTGCTTAAATTGCTCACCTGCCAGGAATGCTGTTTGTTATACGGAACGACGGAAGGAAAAAAAAAAAAAAAAACCCTTCCAGACACCCTGTTACTAGGCTACCGACACCCATGCTTGCGCCTCTGCGTGCACCGAGTGGGTAGTCCTTTGGTAGTCCCCCCATACGGGGACTCTGCTGCACGCCAGACGTCTCTGCGCGACTTACCAGCCGCCCCGGCCACCCGTACGACTTACGGGCCCTTCCCGTACTGTAAAGCCTACCGTTTGTCCGCGGCCTCAGGAGGTCTTTGTCTGCTCCCGCGGTGAGCGGCTCAGAGCGGAGGCTCCCCCGAGGAAAATGCTCAGGGTGCACCTAGGGGCGTCCGCTCCGCAGCCCATCCCGCAGCCGAGCGAGCGGAACGTCTCTCCCGGCCGGCTCGCCAAACTGACTTGCGGCAAACAGAGTCCACAATCAGTAAGGCTGCAAAAGTAGGTCTGTTTATTCAGCGCTGGGCAGCACGGGGGGGTAGTCCCGCCAAAGTCGTGTGCAGCGGACGCGGCAATTTGCCGCGGTTCTACGCAGCGAAGAGTTACATTTGCACGAAGTTTCACAGCGCGCCTACACGTATTCGCAGCCCGTCCCCGCCTGCACGTTAAAAGTAGTTCGAGAAGTCATTTCCACAAGCACCCCCCCCACCCGCGCTCGCGCAGTGTCTCCCGGTGGCGGTCGTCGGGGGTCATGGGGATGAAGGTTGGTGGCTCTTCCTTGTACCCCAGCTAGTTGGCCCTCTTGTCTTTGCACAGAGTTGGTTGCTCCTTGGCTCCTGTCCATGCGCAGGACCGGTTTCTGCCAGTTTCTTAAGACAGGCTCCCACTCTTACTGAAGAGAGTGACCTCGGTAAGGGGCCCGAGGCTTCTTGCTTTAGTTATTTTGCACAAGGCAGCATAGTCGGCAGAGACAGCAGGGAGCATCCTAGTTGCGTGCTGCCAGCGCTCTCTCTCTACCCGATCAGATTGTCCTAACTCCCTCTCTCGCCAGCCCCAGCGGCAAGCCCAAGAAAACCTTCCGAACCACGCTGCCCCCGCCGCGCCCCGGCCGCAGTACGCGACCTGCCGCCCCGGCCGCTTCCCCGGTGCAAAGGGGCGGCAGGCGCTGGCGGGGGGGCAGAGAGCCGTTCCGGCCCGCGGAAGGGGCAGCGAGGCGGGAAGCGAGCGCACGCGCTGGGCCGCGCCGTGCCCTCCGCCGAGCCGGGAAGCCTGCGGCGGCCGGGCGGCAGCTGCTCCTCGGGGGCCGCTGCCCCGTCCCGTCCCGCGCCGCGCGTTCCCCCGCTCCCCAGCGGCCAGCTCTGTCTTTGCACTCGCACAGCAACCTCCCGAGGGAGGTGCACCGTTCCCGGAGGTACTGCAATACCGGGACGATGCGCGGAGCGGAGGGAGCAAGCTCCGGATCCAACTCCCGAGCCCAAAAATCCGTTTAATATAAAGTCCTCTCATCGAGGACGTATCAGATATTAAACTGATAAGAACAGATACTACACTTGATCTTAGCCAAAAGGCCGAGAAGCGATGCCCGCTGCCCCCACCCCGCGCCGCCCGCTCCCGCGCCCACCACCCCGACCTCACGGACACTGCTCCACCGCCCGCCCCCGCCCTCCCGGGCCTCAACCCGCCGCCCTCGCCCGCCCTCGCCCGCCCTCGCCCGCGCTCCGCTCGCAGCCGCGACCCCCAAGCGCCCCGCCGCCGCGGCGCCGGGGCCTCCCAGCGGCCCGTTCGGGCCCCCAAGCGCCCGATTGGCTGGGCCCCGACACGAATTTGCATGCCCCGCCCATCTCCGCGGAGCCGCGCCGCTAGCTGCCGCCTCATTGGCCGGGGCCCCAGGCCGCCCGCCCCGGCGGCCCCGAGCAGCGCCGCGGGAGCTGCGCGCGGCCGGCCGGGGAGCTCTGGCCGGGAGTCACGGCGCTGCCTCCGGCGGGGGTCCTCCGCCCTTCCGTTCAGCGCCTGCGGACGCCTCCGGAGCGAGGCACGGGGCCGCGGGGCTCGGCGACCGGCGGAGCGGGGCGGGGCGGAGCCGCCGCACGAGGAGGGGCCGCGAGCTCTGGGCGGAGAGGAGACGCTGTGTGTGCTCCGGGAGCTGGGAGGAGGCGCGACCGGGACAGCGACCCGAGCTGCCCACAAAGGGCCGTCCGGAGCGCACGCCGTCACGCGGAGCACCGGCCGGGAAGGACGGCCGGGGGGCGGCTGCTGCTCAGGAAGCGGCTGGGCCATCGGACACGCGTGTGGGGAGCAACTGCAGCGTGCAGCGGGAGCTCGGTGCCTGCGTGCGCGTGGTTGTCACTACTTTCTCTTAATTTTCTGTCCTGTTGAACTGTCTTTATCTCAGGCGGCACGCGTTCCCCACCCCACCCCACCCCACCCCCGATTCTCCCCCCTTTCCCGGAGGGGTGAGATTGAGGCAGCGAGGAAACGGCTGCGTGGCGCTGAGCTGTGCCGAAGCTCAGCAGCTGCAGGGGCTCCCCCTGCCCCGGCGTCGCGGCCAGGCCCTGTCGCCTTCCCCTCCTTCCCCTGGAAACGTAGCTTTCCACCCGGAACACCGTCCTGGGCTTTGAAAGGCAAGTCTTGTGAGGGGAGGAAAAAAAGAAACAAACAAACAAAAACAACTCAATAACTTGCTGAGACATCGTCTTCTGCAAAGCTGTTTTATTCACGATTACAGCGGCGGGGGTCCTGCAAGCGGGAGCAACCCGCAAAAGCATATCATAACCTTGTATTATAACCCTCTTAACCGAGGCTTGATTCCTCCCGTTTCCTCCCTGGCTGAGTGCAACAGGTTCATGAGCTACTCAACACTTGTCGCTGTACCGCACAGATCCAGTTTTACTTGACCAACCGTTAATTTCTCCTTCCGCCCATCTTCTCTTGTGACCACAGGGCCCACGATCTTTTGCTTCTAGTGATTTTGCACTGCTTGCCCTGCTTTTCTTACCCGTCCTCCTTATTTTGGGACAGTGGGACCTTCCCCTTACCTGCTTAACGTACTCTCCACTGCTGGGCTGCTGTCGTGCCTGCACAAGCACTTCTGGATACGCAAGCTTAGTGGAATTTTCCACTGCAAAAACACATTCTACTGCAAAAACGCGACATTTTCTCGCAGTCCCATGTCAACACGGCACACCAGAAATAATTGAATCAGACAGTGGGATTCATTTCCACAATGACCTCAAACACCTGGACCAAAGAGCATGGCATTGAACGGGTATACCACATCCCTTCTCCTGCACCAGTGTCCAGGGAAAATAAATAAACAAACAAACAGCAACAGACTGACAAAGAGTACGCTAAAAGCAATGGGTGCTGAGCCATTCAACCGTTGGGATGCTGTACTGGGTCTGGCTGGGATGGAGATAACTTTCCCTGCGGCAGCCCACACGGTGCTGTGCTCTGCACTTGTAGCTAGAACGGCACTGGTATCACACCAGAGCTGTGTCTACTGCTGAGCAATACTGGCACAGGGTCAGGATTCCCTCAACCCCCCGCCCAGAGCCAGCAGGCCTGGGGGCGGGCGAGAGGGGAGGAAGGAACATCAGCAGGGCAGCTGACGTAAAGCAACCGAAGGGATATTCCATACCGTATGGTGTCACACTCAGCAATAAAAGTGGAAGAAGAGGGGAGGGGTGGGCTCTCGTGGGGAGAACATCTGTCCTCCCGAACATCGGCTATGTGCATTGAGGCCCTGCTTCAAGGACGTGGTCAAGCATCGCTCACTGGGGGGGGGAAGTAGAGAGTAATTTCTTTCCTCTGCACTTCCACACAGCCTTTACTTTTGTTTTCCTTTTTTTTTTCCCCCCCTTTCCCTTTAGGGAAATTATTTAATAACAATTTTCCCTTAATATTTTTCTTCCTTTAATTAAATTATCCTTATCTCAACCCACGAGTTGTTCCTTTCCTTTTCTTCTTCCCCTCCTCTTCGGAGGAAGGGGAGTGAGAGAGCAGTTGCGGTGGAGTTCATCAACTGCCTGGAAAGGTAAAGCCACCACAGATCACAGAATCACAGAATTGTAGGGCTTGGAAGGGACCTCGAAATATCATCGGGTCCAACCCCCCTGCCAAAGCAGGTTCCTTAGAGCAGGCTGCCCAGGTAGGATGCACATGTAGCAACAGCCACCTGGTTAGTCTGCCAATCGAACTAGCCCTGCCCAATGGAAACTCCTACACTACACACGGAGAAAGGGATAAAGTCCTTACAGTGCATATTAAAAAAAAAAAAAAAAAAAAAAAGCCATACTGGTGAAGACGATCTGACTTATGCCTGCCTCAGGCTAAGGCAAAGGCAAAGCCGTCCATGGGGCTGCTTTTGCTCAAGGACGTGGGTGCACTTGGCAGCTGATGCAGAAGTATGGGTCAGTCTGAAAACCCTCAAGGGCATCTGGGGTGAGAACAGGCAGTCCTTTGGGTTGTACAATGTTAGTTGCTGTATGTTGTCTGCAGTTGCCGTGTGTCGACTCAAGGGCATTACAGGAAGAGTCGCTCAGATTCATAAAGAATGACAACACGTGCACAGATGTGCGGGGCTTTCCTCGCATACGGGGCTCACCGTGTCTACGCGCGCCCACCCGCCCACCCCAACTTTTGGCGAGTCCTCCCCCAGCCAGCCTCAGCACACAGGCAGCCCTGCTGCCCAGGACTGCCATGATCCCAGGAACTCCCGCTTGCACGCACCTTCTTCCTTGCCACGGTCCCAGCAACGCTCAGTAGCCTCACCGTGCTCCAAGGTT